TGGGAGCATGTGTATATATATATATATATATATATATATATATATATATATATATATATATATATATATATATATATAAAAAGGGGTTAATAGGAGAAAGCTTGGAAAAAGGGTCTTTTTGTGCAAGTGATGAGAATGATTATGTTGGAATTGATGATGGGCTCAAAGACTACTCTGCATGTGTATAAGATGCAATGCCAACTCTTCAATTTCATAAATTTTTCATTTTTTTTGTAACTATCAAATGCATGATATATGGGTCAATGTATTGTCTTTAGGAATATTAAAATTTCGATACATTTAGTTTTGAATTTCTTTAAAGATATCACTGGTATATAAAATAAATAAAATTATTTCCAAAAACACAAATTATATGGATTAGATATCCTTAAATTTTGTAATACCAAATTTAAATTTGAATAATTCAAATAGATGAATAAATCAATATTTAAATTCATATGTGAATAATTCGGATATAAAAAAAAATGTAGATAAAATTTACCACCTGAAATAAAGTTATATAGTTTACATAATTTTGTTGCAAAAATTATAACCAACACAAATATTCTCACTCGACATACTTCTTGCTCTCAATCTTTATTTGCAATCTCAAATCATTAGGAAACACAAAATTATGGGGAAAAAAAACAAGGTAAGATTTCAGAATTTTCAGTACAAGTGTTTATGGAGATGGTGATTGTTGCTGCTGATCTTCATCACAGCTGAAAAACACAACATAGGGTATGTTCTGGACCTTGTGATGATCTCCACCTCCTTGAACCAACATGTCCTTGAACGCTTTGTCCATCCATCTAATTCTCAGCTCTTTTAACGCAGAGATATGTCTCAACCCATCGGGCAACATCTTCAGCTTTCTGCAATCGTTGATCTCCAAGCGAAAAAAACGAGGCATCGACCCTTCTTCTACCATCCACTCTTCTAGATTATCCAAAACCGACAATTCTAAGGAATGCAATTGAACGAACCCGTCTTTCGAGCAAACCATTTTCTTCCCCACGAAAGCATCCACCTCTATCCTAAGTACCTTCAGCCTCTGCAACTTTTCAAGAACTGGCATTGGATCCTCCGCTATTCCACAAGAGGATAGCGAAATCGAGGCAATGTTGGAAGGGAACTGGAGTTCATCTGGTAGCTTCTCCATCTTTATATCCAATACCAACTGGTTTAGACGAAGGAAACCTGAAACTAGCTGTCCTATATCGAGCTTCACGGGTTGTGTTGCATTGTCTGTCTTGTGATACACCATAAACTCCTCGAGATGGTTCAGTGCCGTACTGAGAGATGGAGATAAAATCTCCCTGTTATGTGTTCCAGAGACATTGATCCAGAGAGTTCTAAGATTGGTCATATGGAGAAGATCCTACACATTACAATGCTTCACCGAGAAATTCTTCAGGATCTCCAGCTTCACCAAATTTCCCAGTTCCAACTCTGTCTTCTCACTGAGTTCATCAGGCAACATAAGATATCTCAAATCTTTCATCTTGTTCAAAACATTTGGAACATGAACTGTTTTGTCATAGATCCCCAAGTCCAAAAAGACCATCAAAGTTAGATTCCCCAAAGAAGATGGTAGTTTCGATAAGTTAGTCTCCCGTAAGTTCAAGTACCTCAAGTGAACAAGCTTCCCTATGCTCTTTGGTAACTTCCCTTTTCGAAACTGAGCTTCAAAAAGATCCAAAACCCTAAGTGATTTTAAGCCTTTGAAGCTCGGAGCTAGCAATATCCAAGGGTTGAAATCTCGAGGGATATACAAAATGGACCTTACTTTTGAATTTCTAATATGTCTCTGGTGAAATATGATAGGTTCATCACCATCACCATCATCAAGAAAATGTACAGCAATTCTTCGAGGCCTGTTGACGGGCAAAGGAGATGAAGCATAGGCATTCGAGTTATGGGATGGTACTGATAACTTCTAGGAAATTCTGTTCTTTGGCTGTGGACAGACACATATCTCTCATGACATCATGCAGACGACAACTTTCGATCCTCAATGTCCCAAAATGCCATGTTTCTCTTCACCAGCTCCTCAAGGTAGCCTTCTGAAATATCTCGAATGGTTTTCTCCTTTGATGATATTTCTACTATTCCTTCTGCAAACCAGTAATGGAACAATGCTTCCGTTTGTATCTCATGATCTTCTGGAAAATGTGCGAGGTAAAGGAAGCAATGCTTTAGACGGAAGGGCAAGTCTTCATAGCTTAAAGATAACACTTGTAATACCGGATCATCATTGTCATCAGGACCGATCCCTGTTATTCGAGATCTGATATCTTCATGTACCCTTTTCCACTCGGATGCAGTACGCTTGGTAGCTAACAACCCACCTAGAGTTCTGATAGCCAAGGGTAATCCTCCGCAATGTTTTATCATTTGTCCAACTTCTTCTTTCACCTCATCGATCATAAATTCTGCATATGAGCATAACATGGTTGTTAACTTGCTGAAAACTACTTCTTGAATTATGTTCATTCATAATGATGACTAAATCTAAATACATTTTGATTCTACCTTCAATTTTTTACTTGAGTATTCACCATATTTTAACAAAAGTTCCTTTTTTTTAAAAAAAAATAGTCCTCATTTTCTTTAATCTCTGTACTCCACTTTAAGCTTCTACTGATCACACCTACCAACAATCTCTGTTGTTTTTCTTTCTTCAACCATATGGTAGTTACCCATCTCCGTCCTGCAATGTCTATGAAGACTGATAATAAGGGCTTCCCAAGAGACTAAACATTTCTCGAACTATCCATCTTTTTATTTAATGTCAGGATACATACCAATATCATCTCTCCCAGAAATTGAAATGTGCTGCAATAGTTTCCAACTCTCTTCGTGAGTTAGGCATCTTGGTTTGAAAGTTACACCTCTCGGGTCAGCATGTGAAGCAACACTCTCGTTCCGAGAAGTGAGTAATATCTTGCTGCCTGCCAATATTCTTAGTTTCAAATTGGCATAGCAGAAACTAGAAAGGGTAAATGAACATTCTTAATTTCATCGATAAGAATGAACATCAAAACAAACTTCTCCAAGTTTTATTTCTTTGTCAAATATTTGATCTTTTTTTTCTCATAGAATAAATTAGAGTCATTTGGCAAGATTGATCAAGATTGCATTTACCGACTGAAAGTGGTCACCTGTGTTACGAGGAAACGCGGGCTCTATAAGGTCCCAAGCCGTGGCATTCCATATATCATCGAGGACAATCAGACATTTACTTGTTTCTACGATTTTGAAGAGTTCACCCTGGAGATGTCCCTCTGCCATTTGCTGAATCCTTTGTTCCTCATCTTTTGGCCTAAGATTCAACAAGATCTCACGCCAAATGTACTTTCGCCTACATTGTTGTGAAACATAAACCCAAGCAAACTCCTCGAAGTGACGCCGCACCATGTCGTGATGGAAAACTTGTCTGGCTAGAGTCGTTTTCCCGATACCACCCATCCCACATATAGAAACCACTCGAAGATTGCCTTTCTTCACCAGATGACCAGTTAGTTCTTCAATGCTACCCTCTAACCCGACAAGATCACTTTGGGAAACATTTGGAAAGGATTGCCGGATTTCAGTTAAGGGATCTTGAGAATATTCTATGTCAATGAGATCCCGTACACCAAAGTTTTGCATAGTCCCTATTACCTTGGAGATCCTGAGGGTTATGCCTTTGATTTGAGAATCGACCTTTCTGCGATTCATCATAGCCATACAAGCACACCTCCTCACACCCTTTTCGAACCCTCTTCCTTCTTTGAGAAGAAATTTCTCGATTATATCCTCTGCATCATAGACGATTTCTTTGATTTCTTCCAAACAGTTTCTCACCATTTCGCTTCCGTGTTTTTTGGCGTCTGCATCTTTCAGAAAACACTTCAACCTCCTCAGATCATTCCGTAGTTCAGTAACTTGTTCATGGATTCCCGTTAACAGTTCGGATTCCCGAACCAACAGCTCCCACAGCTTTTGCACTCCGAATGAAACAACTCCGTCCGCCATTACAGCTCCGTAACACGAATGAATGAATATCGAAACAAAATCTCCGCCAAGAAACTAAGGAGGCATTCTCAACAATCTAACCTAATCACCGATAATTCGAGATGCAGATTTCGAATAATCGGAACAGAGAGAAGAGAATGTGGAATTCCCATGCCTCACCTTCTTCAACTCTTTAGTCATGAAGTTGACTGTATAGACAGCCAAGCGTCAAACCTTTGTCTCTTTCCTGTAGTTTCAGCAATAATAATTGTCAATAATGGGTTGGGTTAGTCGAAATGTGCAGTTTTGATCCAAATATAAAACGAACAGCCCATAAAGCCCATTAAAAGCCCATTAAAACCCCATTAAAAGCCCATGAGTAATTTAAATAAGAGAGAGTATATATGTATATATATGACAGCGCCGCTAGGGTTTTCTCTCTCGTACTCTTTAGGCGTGGAGAGCTTCTTCAATCGGTTCACTGCCGCCGTCTCTCGCGAATATCAGGTATGCATCTGCGTCGCGAATAAACCGTGTTATAATTGTAAAGTTCTTCCAATGGCCTTGAAGTTAGGGTTTTGCTTGGACTCTCGTTTTTCTTCCTTACCGTCTTTGTTCTTGCGCCGACCACACACTTAGAGGTATCCACAGTTTGATTTCTGTGGTTTTGTTGATTTGGTTTCATCATCCTTTTTACCTATTCTGTATCCATCATGTATCTGTTGATATTAGGGTTTTAGGGTTTTTTTCTTGACAGAAGCTGAATCTAGGCTTTTGTAGCTTCATCCTCTTAATCTTCGGATCGATTCGATTCGTTCACCTTGTGAAAGGGAGGATTTCTATGTGATTTTCCGTTTAGTTGATTGTTTAGTGGCTCATCTACTTCTTGCTCCTTCCTTATTTTCGCCGTGATTTAGTATTTTGCAAATTTTGTTGTAGCTTCAGGTAACTTAGAAGGTAGAAGAAGGCATGGCTTATGCAGCAATGAAACCTGCCAAGGCAGGATACGAGGATTTGCAGGAGCAGATTCACAAAATCAGGATTACTCTCTCCTCCAAGAATGTGAAAAACCTTGAGAAAGGTTTGAGCTTTATGAACAAATGATTCAAATTTACTTATTTTATGGCAATGGCATTGATGTTGGGCAATTGAAAACTCTGTTTTCTAAGATTCTGATGCTGTTGAATGCAATTCGCTATCTTTTCCTAATAGTGTGTGGAACCATTTATAGCATGAAATGTATAATCGAATTCGAGTATATGATTTCATCTGGTGTACTTGATTCCGCTGTGTTTGTAGTGTGTGCTGACTTGGTACGTGGAGCTAAGGACAAGTCCCTTCGGGTTAAGGGACCTGTGAGAATGCCCACCAAGGTTCTTAACATCACTACCCGGAAGGCCCCTTGTGGAGAAGGTGAACAATCTTCTTCTCTATTTAGTGATTACGATTGTGTTGCACATATGCGAATGCAGATGTGTATATTTGTCTACGTACCCAAATACAATGTCATTAGTATGATCTGATTAGTGTATGATGGTCCCCTTTGATCTTCAGTTCAAGGAGCTGGAATTAACGTTGAAAACATTGTTATTTCATATTTGCTAATGCCGACATGATAAACTTAGTCCCTGTTTTCTTTAGGACAGTCCAAGTTTCATGCTGTCTGAAAAAATCTATAAGATGACTTTGTTTTCATGTGTGTCCTGTAGGAACCAACACATGGGACAGATTCGAGCTCCGAGTTCACAAGCGCGTTATCGATCTTTTCAGCTCTCCGGACGTGGTTAAGCAGATCACTTCCATCACTATTGAGCCCGGTGTCGAGGTTGAAGTCACCATTGCCGATTCTTAAAAGGAGCAATCTTTCGTAATGGTTTTGTGTTTTTGCCTCGATATTTGTTCTTGGCAATGAGCTTATTGATGGTGCAAGAAGTACTTTAATAGGATTGAGGTTCATGGTTTCTTCCGTACCTTTTTTCATTTCAAAGAAGTTGGTATTTTGGACAAATCTTGAAATTTTGGTGCAACTGCTTTGATGTCTTGATGGTATTCAACTTTGGTTTTCTGATGATTTTTTTCTTCAAGATATTAGATTTATTCATAATCCCCTTGGTTTGATTTTAATAAATTCAATTTGAATAAAAATTAGAAAATAACTTTGTTTTTGCGTTTATTTTATTGCTAATGAATCAAATATTGTGCATGTATACTCTCCACAAGCAGAGTTAATGTCATGCCAAAACAAAATTGTTAGTGAATTAGGAATTAAGATAAATACTTGTTAGTGTGAAATAATTTTGATTTTATCGCATTTTGTATGAAACGCGATTCATTGGTTATGCCGTCCAACCTGATATACATATAATATATAGACACACATATATGTGACTAACAGATATAGTTTCTTCTTTTTTTCCATTTTATCTGTTTAACCCCGTAACCATAAATATAAAATATTTATAAAATCCGTTGATACACCTGTCACTCCTTATGATTTCGTGTACGTTGTTCCCTCTTTCGTCTGCCTAACGAATTCAACACTCCGACCATTTCTCCAGCGGACGACATCGGAAAATGGCGGCGGCGGAGCGTTTGAACTCGAAATGGGTGGCCATGGCGGCTAGTATATGGATCCAGTGCGCAAGCGGCGCTTCCTACACCTTCGGAATCTATTCCTCTGTCCTCAAATCGACCCAATCCTACGATCAATCTACCCTCGACACCGTCTCCGTCTTCAAGGATATCGGAGCCAACGCCGGTGTTTTCTCCGGCCTCCTCTACACCGCCGTAACCTCCCATCGCTGTCGTCTCCGTGGCGGAGGAGGGCCGTGGGTGGTGCTCGCCGTCGGGGCGATTCAGTGCTTTGCCGGATATTTCCTCATGTGGGCCGCCGTCTCCGGGTTAATTCCCCGGCCTCCGGTGCCGATGATGTGCCTTTTCATGTTCCTGGCGGCGCAATCGCAGACGTTCTTCAACACGGCCAACGTCGTGAGCGCCGTCGAGAATTTCGCCGATTACGGTGGTACCGCCGTCGGAATAATGAAGGTTACATCTCAATCGTTACTTTAAATTTTCCGCTGTTCAGATTTGATTTTACTTGGGCACCGAATGATGGGTATGATTGTGTTGAAATTTTCCAGGAAAATGGCAACATCTGGGTAAAATCTTGGAAAATGTAGGCTTTGAACTTAACTGTTGAAATTTTCCAAACTCTTGGGAGATGATATTACATTTTCATGTGGTGTAACTTTGAAATCCTGGTTTAGGGTGTAGGAATCGCTTACAAATTTTTGTCTTTTGATGCATTTGGAAATTTTTTGCCTGTTTTTCTTTCTTCTTTTTGGGTGCATCCAAATGTATACACAACTTCTTGAGTTTTAGATGCAGAAACTTCGAGCTTTCGGGTTTTCTAAGAATTCAGTTTTTGGTACTTAAGAGAGCTAAATAGAGTCAGGCTTGAGCTCTTTTGCTATGTAGATAACGTTCTTCGAATAGTAAAGCAATCACATTCCATCACGGTGAGAAATTTGTTAGCTTATATATAATACATTTGCAACCTTATATTGCGTATGCGGGTTACAATTATAGATCTTGCAAGAAGGTTTCTGTCTAAGATCGTGTCGTAGGCAACATCATTAGCGGGCTTAAGCTGTTTCATTTACTAGGAGTTATCGAAATGTTGTGGTTATTATGTTGTATGACAGAGAGAATATGATCTTCTTTCTCTTATAAATGGCTTCGGAGATATTTTGCCTCTCCAATTCATTGATCAATACAGTGAGGCAACTAAAGTTTGTGTTTATGTACTGAAATGTATTTCTTTTTTCCATTCCTTTGTAGGGTTTTCTTGGTCTGAGCGGGGCGATACTAATTCAACTCTATGAAACAGTATGTGGTGGAAATCCTGCGAGTTTCATTCTTCTCCTCGCGATTACACCTGCACTTCTCTCCCTCTTGGCCATGCCTCTCGTCACGATATACGAGACAAGCAATATGGATGAAAAGAAGCATTTAGGTGGCATTTCAGCTATCTCTCTCATCATTGCGGCATACCTTATGGCGGTCATTATTCTAAAGAACACCTTTGGTTTGTCTTCGTGGGCAAATATCATCGCGCTTGTATGTCTACTCGTTTTGCTTGCCTCACCTCTTCTGATAGCCAGAAGGGCATATCGGGAGAGTTTGGAGAATTCATTATCTCCTGTTCAGTCTCCTCTGATAGGCAGTCCTAAACCAACGACCTCCAGCAAGAAAATTCCTGAAGAAGATAGTCAAATAGAAGGTCACTGTAACGAAAACCCAGTGCCAAATGAAGAAAGCTTGAATCTCCTGCAAGCCATGCGCAGTGTAGATTTCTGGTTGTTGTTCCTTGCCATGATATGTGGAATGGGTTCCGGTCTTTCAACGATAAACAACATCCGGCAAATTGGTGAGTCTCTTCGATACTCTACCATCGAGATAAACTCACTCGTTTCACTGTGGAGCATATGGAACTTTCTCGGTCGGTTTGGAGCTGGTTATGCCTCTGATGTGTTGCTACACAGATATGGATGGCCACGGCCATTGTTAATGGCCACAACCCTTGCGAGTATGAGCATAGGCCATCTGATCATAGCCTCTGGTTTTCGAGGAAATCTCTACATCGGATCCGTTATCGTCGGCATCTGTTACGGGTCACAGTGGTCACTGATGCCAACGATCACGTCTGAACTATTCGGGGTTCGGCATATGGGCACCATCTTCAACACCATTTCTGTTGCCAGTCCTGTTGGATCTTACATCTTCTCGGTGAGATTGATCGGTTATATCTACGACAAGACCGCATCTGGAACGGGACACGTTTGTTATGGCTCTCGTTGCTTCATGTTGTCCTTTGTTATCATGGCTTCGGTCGCTCTCTTCAGTTTTCTCGTCGCTTGTTTGCTGTTTTACCGGACAAGGACCCTTTACAGACAAATCGTTGTGAAGAGGTTGCATCGGCGATAGAGCCTCTGCAAATCCTTCCGTGTAAATTCAGTTTTGTTTTTATGCAATGCATATAATCCACATGTTGAAATTTTAAAATATCACGACTATTTTGAAATCTTGATATCTTCTTGACGTTGTTTAGAAGAAAAAAAATTCGATCTCTAATTTGATCAAAACCATGGAAAAAATACAAACTTCTATAAAACATGAGAACATGAAGATGAAGATGATGATGATGCCTTGTGCCAAAACAAATAAATCACTGGAAATTTTTATATTTAGTGTTTATTGCAGAGGGTGGGATTGAGTAAGAGGGACCCACATCATCTCCGTTGAAAAGATTAGAACTTTCTGCCAAAATTCGATTACTGAATCATCGAGAACGAGGGAGAAAATGATGCACTGCTTGCAGGCTCCGCGAATCGTGATGCCCTGTGCCCGGAATCTGAGACCACGAACCCGAATTTCTTCCACCGCCATTGAAGCAGCGACGAGCTCGCAGACCCATTTCTCGTGTTCTTCTTTTTCTTCTTCACCGTCGATGCCTCGCCGTTTGATTCTTCTCCGACATGCTCACAGTTCTTGGGACGATTCTTCTCTCAGAGGTCTGTCTCTCTCTCATGTCTTCCCTTTCTCTCTACTTGTCTGGTTTTGACTGAACAAACTGAGAGGGAGTTCCTCTGCATTAGATCAGATCATGAACGTCCTCTGAGTAAAGCCGGACGAGCTGATGCCGCTAAAGTTTCTCAGATAATCTGCAGATTGGGTTGGGTTCCTCAGCTTATTCTCTCAAGGTTTAAGTTTTTTTTTTGTTTCAATCCCCCAAAAAAAATCTCTGCTTTTGTGGGTTTGTTTTACCTTCGAATCTTCTTTTGCTTACGAATCACCCCTCTATCTAACAATGGGTTTTTTTGTTTTTCTCAGCGATGCGGCACGAACAAGGGAGACATTGAGGATAATGCAGGATCAAGTTGGATTGCTAATGGAGGTTGAGGTGCATTTTATCCCTAGCTTTTACTCCATTGCCGCTATGGATGGCCAAACGGCCGAGCACATCCAGCGAACTGTCTGCAGATTCTCAACGGATGAGATAACCACCGTAATGTCGGTTTCTTTTGGCGATTCTCCGTGTTATTATCCATTCTTGAGCTTCTTTATTACCATGGAGTTTTTGTTTTTCTGACCGGAGTCTCTTTAGGTGTATGGGACATAATAAGGGATGGGAGGAGGCAGCCTCCTTTCTGGCTGGAGCTCCTGTTAAGTTGGAAACATGCAATGCTGCTTTGCTTCAGGCCTCTGGCAAATCCTGGGAAGAGGTTTACTTCTTTCATTCTGCAGTTGCTTTGGTTCACATTCACACACACATACATACGTTTTCTTGCTCAGAGAAGGGCATCGAAAAAGAACTCAAATCAGCATACGAAAACCCGTTTTGCTAATTGATGGAAGCAAACCCGGGTTTGATCTGATGCTAGCTAGTGTCCTCTCTATTTATGAACAGGCATTTGATCTGGCGGGTCCTGGCGGATGGGAGCTTCATGGTGTGGCGACACCGGATAGCAACATCTGTGTTTAAATGGAGATTTCTGCATATTGCCACTCTCTCTAGGTACCGAGACATATATATACATATAGATCGGTATCAACCTTTGATGCTACACTCTCCTGCAGAGTGATTTTGTTAGAAGCTGAAAACGTTAAGAGTTTTGGTCGTATAAGCATTTAGATGTTGTGAAAATGCATACCAAGGAACCTTACCATTAAATTCCGTTCTTGAGACGAGTACGAAACATAAGCTCCTAGTTGTTGTTTGTAACTTACTATAGTTGGCAAAATACCAGAAGAACACACTGACACAGCACATGTTCATGTGGCGGTCTCTAGAGTTACCGAGTTTGAAGAGTTCATAAGGAATGGTGTTGATAGGCATAACTAGCAATAGTATAGTACCCTACTGAAAAAATCGAGGAAACCCGAGATCGTTATGGCGAACATAGCTAGTGTTTGGGTACGCGTATAGCTGTTCGGGTATAGCTAAATATATATATGTATATGTCGAAAGAGAGCTCGATGAATCGGATGAGGTGACAGAGGAAGTGTGTATGTGGTAAACTGAGGCATCATATCGAAACTACTACAGAAGAGATTGAGAATGCCAATCTCTGTTGTGGGAGGAACTCAGATTGAAGTTCATTTATCATTAAATCCGATACATATATATATATTCAAGTACATTGTTAGTGTGAAATACATACCCATTTTTAGTGTCATTCATCAGTAACCAAGCCCTTGCATTTGGAAAGAACACCATTTTTGCAGCCTTTGGCTTCAACTTCCCTTTGATCAATGCTGATATTGGCTAAAGAACCAAACTTTTTTCACTATCTGATCCAAAATTTTCTGGAATCTCTAGATTAACAGATGTTGAAAGTTAAATATTATATTCTGCAAAAAGCTACTTCCAAGACTCCATATTACAAGGGCAACACACATTTTTTTTATAATCTGTAAATTAATCGAGTTTTTGATACAATTATATCTTTCAGAAAATCGAATAATCGAATAAGTACAGGTGATTATCCTCACACCCTCTACAAGATGATAGGCAACACACCATATTGAAACTATAGTGTTATGAAAATTTTGCCTTATCTAATAAATATATTCACATTTCCTGAATTACTACAACATCCCCATGTTTCAAAGTCTTGGAAATCTTTGTAGGAGATTTACTAGCGACAAAAAGGAAGACAATGACAAGCTACCAGCAGTAGTAATCCCAGCAAAATAAACTAAAAATGAGATTAATTTCTATATAATTATATATAATCACACGAGGCATATTACATCAGTCTGTTGAACGGTGGAAAACAAAATGCCGATGATATTCCTCCTAAAAGCACTGGAAAAAAGAAATAAAGCAAACAAAATCAAAGTCGTGTGGTGTTAGTTTATTGGCCGACCATTACCATTCGTACAAGGACTTGTGGCTATTTTAATTTCCTCCACACAATAAGTAATACATAGCCGAGTAACCAATGAAACACAAAAGAGTCGCATTGAAGATAATGACTAATATTCGAGGAACCCACATATCTTATCCTTGGGGATAAGATAAATATATATATATCATAAATAGATAAATAAAAAACCCTAACCCCACAAACCACCAAACGCTTACCACATGAAACACGACTCGTTAGAAATGAAAATACCATTCAAATTACATCACATACCACAAATAAAATCAAAATCAAAATGGACCCTCAGATACGAGTTTTATGGAGCGCACACTGACTGACTATCTGTACAACAATGGAGCAAAAACCGATAGGCGCTAAGCAACGCCGATGACACTATTGCTATCTCGGCTGCTGAAGCTTGGCATCGTCGTCCGGAAAGCTGAGCAATTCGCGGATTGTTGGTCCTTCGGGCAAGGCGCGGCCAGAGAGAGGCTGAGAGAGAGTGGTGATGAGTTCACGGCCGGGTTTAGATTGAATCCTGATGGCGCCTGTAAGGTTGACGAGACCAGATGGACGAAATTCGGCTGCGTATCCTTTGGATGAGAAACTTGCACATGATCTTCCTCCATTGCCATTCCTGTGACCTGAAAGAAAGAAAAAAAACAAGTAGGTCTAACTATTACTCTTGATATTTAACACAAAGATTTTCCACCTTAGTTGCACCCAACTCGTTCTTACCCCTAAATCGACAGAATTCAAACACTGATCTCGAGTTGACCAAAACTCAATATAGCTAAGAAAAAAATCGTTTCTTCAACAGACCCTTCTCATTTCCAGTTGCTTCTTATCCATCTCAACAACCAAGAACTACAGCTACACTGCTTTATTCACAAGGACCCATGTAAAGGGATAGGAAAACTGAAAAAGTGCCTTTGAAACTCCAAAAGGTAGGAGAAATTCAAAGCAATCTCTCCTCTGAAGCTAAATCAATTCACATTCGAATCATATGGGATTGGAAATTACCGTTTCGGTGGTAATGTCAAAGAGGCTAGATCTTCTCCGACGGCGATTGAAGTTGCTTCGCCGAAGGAAGTATTTCTGAGCGTGGCTTGCCACCTGGGTAGGCGTCCTCGTCTTCACGAAGTTTCTGGAGATCCCTTTCCAGTCACCTTTCCCTA